GGCGGTGGTGGGGCTCCCCCAGCCGGATGCCCAGGGCCGTTCTTGGAAGAACCAAACCCATGGCCTTGTCCACGACCTCTGCTAGGACATCTGGGTCCCTTCGTGAAGACATCAGCCCCGTGGACTCAACCCTTGATGGACATCTGAGGCCCTTCCTGGAGGCATCAAGCCAAGGGTCTCATCCCCACCTGGATATCTGGGGCCCTTCCTGGAGGCATCAAGCCAAGGGTCTCATCCCCACCTGGCCATCTGGGGACCTTCCTGGAGACATCAGCCCCATGGTCTCCTCCCTTGCTGGACATCTGGGGCCCTTCCTGGAGACATCAACCCCGTGGTCTCATCCCTGCCTGGACATCTGGGTCTCTTCGTGGAGACACCAACCCCATGGTCTCCTCCCTTGCTGGACATCTGGGTCCCTTTCTTGAGACACCAACCCTGTGGTCTCCTCCCTTCCTGGAGACATGAACCCTGTGATCTCACCCCTTGCTGGACATCTGGGTCTCTTCGTGGACACATGAACCCCGTGGTCTACTCCCTTGCTGGACATCTGGGGCCCTTCCTGGGGACATTAACCCCATGGTCTTATCCCTTCCTGGAGACACCAGCCCTATGGTCTCAATCCTTGCTGGACATCTGGGGCCCTTCCCGGAAGCATCAAGCCAAGGGTCTCATCCCTGCCTGGACGCTCAGGTCCCTTCCCGGAGACATCAACCCCGTGGTCTCACCCATGTCCGGACGCCTGGGCCTGTTCCCAGAGACACCGATTACCCAACCTTGACCTCATTGCCCGCCCGGACACCTGGATCTCTTCCCGGAAAAAAATAATCTGGTGGCCTCATCAGTCACCCCAACGCCTGTGTCCCTTCCCGCAGAACATGACCCCGCGGCTCGTCCTCATCCTCGTTTATTGTCCCTCCTGGGCAGGAAGAGGCATAAATTAACGGCGGAGGGAAGGGTGGAGAGGGGTTTGGTAAGGTGGCCCCCGGGGGGGGGGGGGACACAGGTGGTGGGACACAAGGTGGTGGATGGGATGGGGGGTCCACGGTCAGCAATACTCTGAGTAATCTTCCTCCACGTAGTTTGCGGGGAACCATCCAACCTTGGAGAAGGAGGACACGTTAGGAGAAGGTGGGAGGAGCTTGGGAGAGGGACACTGGGGTTGGGAAGGGGCCGTACCCGCCCGTAGATCTCTCCTTTCCACCAGCCTGGGTGGCCCTTCTTGCTGAGGACACGGATGATGTCACCCTCCCGCAGCGTCAGCTCCGTCCGGTCCCGGGCGCAGAAGTCATAGCGGGCTTTGGCTGACCCGAAGTTGTGCACAGCTCCTGGCGGGGGGGGAACGTAGACATGGATGAGTCCTCCAGGTCATCCCCCATGGTGGTCCAAGTCCCCTCCTCCAGCCGGTCGTCGTGGCCATTTTTGCCCCCTTGACTGTCCCATGGTCCTTCCCTCGACCCATCCCTTGGCCATCTCCATCAACGTGTCCCCAGAGCCCAGTCGTCCCACTTGACCCAGTCCCAACTTGTCCCGCTTGGCCATTCGTCCTTCCTTGACTCATCCCATCGCTGATCCCTCAACCCATCTCTTGGCCATCACCAACGACTTCACTCCATGACTCAACCACCCCCCTCCTCGTCCCTGTCCCTTCAACTTCTCCCCCCTTGGCCATTTGTCGCCCTTGACCTATCCCATGGCTGCTCCTCTCCCTTGGCCTCAACCATTCCCTTGGCTCATCCCTTGGCCATTGTCCTTGTCCCATCCCTGTGACTCAACATCCCCCTCAGCCTGCCCTCTCAACCGTGACTGGAGGAGGAGGTCCCCACCATGTCCATCCCACCATCACTGCACCCACCCGACCACCACCACCTCACCACCTCCATTCCACCTTCACCCACAACGAGGGACCCCACCACTACCTCACCGCCTCCATCCCCCCCTCACCCACAATGAGGGACCCCACCACCTCCATCCCACCGTCACCCACAATGACGGACCCCACCTCCTCCATCCCACCACCTCCATTCCACCCTCACCCACAATGAGGGACCCCACCACCTCCATCCCACCGTCACCCACAATGAGGGACCTCACCACCTCCATCCCACCACCTCCATTCCACCCTCACCCGCAATGAGGGATCCCATAACCTCCATCCCACCACCTCCATCCCACCCTCACTCACAAGGAGGGATCCCACCACCTCCATCCCACCATCACCCACAAGGAGGGACCCCACAACCTCCATCCCACCACCACTTCCTTCCTACCCTCACCCACTACGAGGGACCCCACCACCTCCATCCCATAGCCACCACCTCCACCCCACCATCCAGGTCCTACCGGGTGGCCGGGGACCAACCCGGCTCTCGGGCTCCTTGAAGGGCACCACAAGTGTTGTGTCGAGGGCTTTGAAGCAATCCTTGAGCGAGTTGCATTGGTAGAACTCCACCAGCTCCTGTTGATGACATGGTCAAGCCCCAAGGTCACCGCCAGCCCCCAACCCCAGTGTGGGGTGGACCCAGAGATCTGGGTTGGAGGGGAGTAGCAAAGGGGGCTCCAACGCTCACCACCAGCCCCTTGAAGGCCTTCTTCTCGGTGACGCGGTAGAGCCCCTCCGCCGTCATCACCTTGATGTGCTTCACCTCCCCACGGTACCTGGGCGGGGGGGATGTGGTGGGGTGAGGTGAGGACCTGCCCCCTCCTCTTGTCCCCCCCCACCCTGAAGATGTCCCTGGTCCCTACTTAATGCTGATGGCGAATTCCCCGGCATCTTTCACCCGCTGGCGCACCAGGAAGGCCCCGTCGGAGCGGGGCATCAGGAGCTGCTCAGCTTCCCCCCGCTCCATGAGGCCGGCGTACCTGGGAATTATGGGGTGGGGGGTCCTCAGCCCCCCCAAACTAGCATCCCCTGCCCCCCTCCCTGGGGCAACTTGAGGGGGTTGGGGCAGGGAGGGGGAGCTGGGGGCTGTGGGGCAACCTGGGTGAAGGATCTGGGGGGGCCACACCAGGAGGGTTGGGGGCCCCTGGGAGCTATGGGGTGATCACAGGAAGGATGAGGGGCTCAGGAGAAGATTTTTAGGGGGGTCTGATGCCAAGGGGATGACCCTGAGGAAGGATTCTGGGTGGGGCAGGAAGGATGGAGAGCTCAGGAGAGGATTTGGGGTGACCCAGGAGGGATGGGGACCCTGAGAAAGGATTTGAGGAGCTCCGGGAAGGATGAAGGGCTGGGGGGGATTTGGGGGGGCCATGGACGCTATGAGGTGACTCCGGAGGAGGATTTGGGGTGACCCAGGAAGGATGGAGGGGACCCACAGGAGGGATCTGGGGGGGCCTGGGGTGACTTCAGGAAGGACAAAGGGACCTGGGAGGTTCTGGAGGATATAGGGTGACCCCAAGAAGGATGGGGTGACACCCCGGGATGATTTATGGGGTCCTGGGGGGGGCTACAGGGTGATTCGGGGAGGTCCCCAGGGCCTATGGGAGCCCAGAGGAGAATTTGGGGTGCCCCAGGGGCAATGGGGTGGGCCCCCAACACCAACCAGGGGTAGACGGAGAGATCCGGCAGTGGAACCTGGGGGAGAGAAGCAGAACTGGGGATCAAGAGTTGGGGAGGACAGAAGGTGACTCCTCTGAGACACCCCCTGCACCCCATAGACAGCCCCCCAAATCCCAGGACTCCCCAAACATCTTGGGGACATCAAGGTGGGTGCAGTTTCAGGGTTCCCAGTACTCACGCAGATGAAGGGTCTCACGACGGCGCAAGGGAACCAACCCAGGTCACCGTTGGCCAAGTTCCTGCCCTGAAGATGAGCTACCATGGGGCTGGGGGGGCCAGAGGGGTCCCCCCGCTCCCCAGAAGCCTGGAAGGACCACCGGGGTTCAACATGGCCAGGGGGGTCCAGCCCCATCACGGGGGTCTAGCCCATCTCCGTTCTGGAGGTTCAACACGGCCATGGGGGTCCATCTCCATGGTGGGAGTTCAGCATGGCCATGGGGGTCCATCTCCATGATGGAAGTCTGTCCCCGTTGTGGGGGTTCAACATGGCCATGGGGGTCCACCTCCATGGTAGGAGTCTGTCTCCATTGTGGGGTTTCTACATGGCCATGGAGGTCCACCTCCATGGTGGGAGTCTGTCTCCATTGTGGAGGTTCAACATGGCCATAGAGGTCCATCTCCATGGTGGGAGCCTGTCCCATTTGTGGGGGTTCAACATGGCCATGGGGGTCCAGCCCGATGGTTGGGGTCCAACCTGGCTGTGGGGATCTGGCCTAGCCACATCATAGGGGTCCACCCCAACCCAATTCATCATGATCTAGCCCATCACGGCCATTGTGGTCTGAGCTCACCATGGGGGTCCAGCATGGACTTGGGGGTCTGTCCTAGCCCATTATGAGGGTCTATTCCAGCATGACCATAGTGGTCTGCCCCCAAAGTGGAGGTCCATCTCAGTATGGCCACGGTGGTCTGCCTCCACAGTAGAGGTCCTTCCCAGCATGGGCAAGAGAGTCTGCCCCCGTAGCAAAGGTCCATCCCAGCATGACCATCATGGTCTTCCCCCATAGCGGAGGTCCATCCGGGCATGGCTGTGGTGGTCTGCCCCCATAGTGGAGGTCCATCCTGGTATGACCATTATGGTCTTCCCCCATAGCGGAGGTCCATCCCAGTATGGCCTTACTGGTCTGCCCCCATAAAGGAGGTCCATTCTGGTATCACCATTGTGCTCTGCCCCCATAGCGGAAGTCCATCCCACCATGACCACGAGGGTCCCACCCCCACCCCAGCCGT